GTCACTCAGGAAAAGTCACTCAGAGGTGCGCGAAAATGACTCAGGATTTGTCACTCAGACAATTTTCTGAGTGAATTTTCCTGAGTGACTTCCTGAATGAATTTACACCAGTGAAACGGCCCTGATATGCTCAAATCTTCAGTAAAAATAGTGAAATTGAGCAACTTTGAGAGCCCGTAGCATGCAAACCTGACGTAGAGCCTCGTTCGACACGGCATTCGAAAGAGCGCATTTTTTTGAGTATCTGAGACCCATTTGGGTACTTTTTTGGATCTCGGTTTGAGAGAACCCATCTAGTCCCAAACCCTCGAAAACAGCTGTTTTTGGGGTGTTTAGACCCGTACCAAAGCCACAGGGGGTGTCGGATTTCGTCCAAGTGTCTTTTCGGCAGTTCGTATACATACAAGGAACCGATAAAACACCACAAGCGCCCGCTCCTAGGATGTCGCCGACCAAGTGGTTTTTTTTTGTCTGGAGCTTCTCTAAGCCAGGCTGGTCGCGACGGAACAGGTGGGTAATTCCACGCCAACTTGAACACTCATAAACCTGACGTCGTCCGATTTCAACCAAAATTGGTGAATCGCCACCAATTAGTGTCTAGAATGACCCCTTAAAATGGTTTTGGCCAATAGCCAATAGTTCCGGAGATATAGCACTTCACCATTTTTGGCCATTTTCCAAGTTACAGAAACAGTGTTTCACTAAAGTGCCATTATCTCAGCTCCTATTGGACTTACAGGTCTGATTCTGTGCTCATTGGAAAGGGAATGAAATTTTGCATCAAAATGTGGTACTCTTAGGTTGATAGGGCAAAAACTCAAATAAATGTCTTTTTCGATTAAATGTTTAACTTGAAAATATCGTTTCCAAAATACGTCATCCTGAAAAAAAATAAATTTAGTTCTGGCTTGTGATTCTTCTTTCTAGAAGCAGATGTTTACTAGAGTAAAAGAAGTGGAATGAGACGTACCAGGGTCAAATCCAAGGTGGTGTATTTTGGGTATGAAAGTTTCAATGAATTCGACAAAATTGCTCAAGTAGGCCAAACCAAGCAACGTACAAAACTTGGACTACCACAACCTTTTATTTTCTTTTTTTATGACTAGAAAGAAGAATCACAAGCCAGAACTTAAAAACTAACTTTTACCCTAAAAAAATCAGGAAGCTACATTTTTCCGCTAAATTAGTCAAATTTAGAAAAATGTAAATATCTCAGGTTCTAATTGAGCTAGCCAACTTTCCTCTATGGGTTGATAGGTACTAGTGGAACCTATTGAACCCACAAAGTTTGAACCGAATCCGTGACCCAATCCCAGATCTCGGTCCACCTTGGGGTGGAGTTACTCAGTAGTCGATTTGATGTCTTGTTACGCAAAGTTCTAAGCTGGAATTTGATCTGACCCCTTCCCTGAGCGCTCAGACTTACTCAAACAATTACTTTGATACATACCAATCGATGCTGGGCATAGGAGTAACAGTTTTGAGGGTGGTGAAGAAGTGGGACTGCAACAGGACCATCGTAGGCTGGGCGAAGAGTGAAAAAAGTGCACTTTTTGGGCACATTTCATCACGGTTTCCCCTGCAAATACTGCAAAACTCAAATACTTTTTGAAGCACTTTAGGACATTAAAGTAGACACCTTAGGAGACCTTTTGGTGAAAAAAATTTTTTTTTTCAGGATGACGTATTTTGGAAACGACATTTCCAAGTTAAACATTTAATCGAAAAATACATTTATTTGAGTTTTTGCCCTATCAACCTAAGAGTACCACATTTTGATGCAAAATTTCATTCCCTTTCCAATGAGCACAGAATCAGACCTGTAAGTCCAATAGGAGCTGAGATAATGGCACTTAAGTGAAACACTGTTTCTGTAACTTGGAAAATGGCCAAAAATGGTGAAGTGCTATATCTCCGGAACTATTGGCTATTGGCCAAAACCATTTTAAGGGGTCATTCTAGACACTAATTGGTGGCGATTCACCAATTTTGGTTGAAATCGGACGACGTCAGGTTTATGAGTGTTCAAGTTGGCGTGGAATTACCCAGGTCACGCGCCAGCCGCTGCGCGTCCTGTGGCGACCACCGCGGAGCGAGGGTCATGCGATTGTGAGATCCAGCCTTTGTGGAAACCCCGTCGGAATGTTGATAATTTTTTTCCAGCTGGTACTGCCGCTCCCGAGGGCCGCGCACGGCCTGGCTACCGTAACAACATTCGTACAGGACTGCGAGCTTAATCACGTGAGAGTGATCTGGATCCCCGCCGAATGCCCCTGGCAGTGCCTTCGGGTCACCCCGGGACTAAGGACTCACACGCAGTTGCCCTGCTGCGCGGGGCGCCACCCCGGCTCGTGTGTTAGTGTGTCGCGGTGACCCCTTGAGGTTCATGCTGGCCTTGGTTATCGGCCCGCCCCTGTCAGCCTCCACCGTGAGGGCTGCCGACGCGACGGCGACCGCCACCGCGACCAGCGTCTTGGTCGCCAGGTGGAGCGCGTTCGCTATTGCTGTCGTTCGGCCGCTGTTCGCCGCGACCATCACGGGGTGCCCCATGAGTGCGAGAGAGACAGAGCGACGAAAACGACCGTCGGAGGGTGAAGCCACCCCTCGGCTAATAGTTGAACCCTGAACTTGACACTGGAATCTTGAAAGGGGAAAGTTGAATCAGTCCGCCCCGCCCCGCCGCGCCCTTGCCCCGGACAGGGCACGACTTGTGTGTAGGGGCGGAGCTAGGATGATTCCCAACTGTTCGCCGCTCGCTCTCTCTCGCACCCCTTCGGAGCGCCCCATGAGGTGGAGAGAGACGGAGACGCTGCGTGACGCACCCCGCGCATTGCGCAATAAGAATGGTCCCCTGAAACGCGGCGTGTTACATGCTTTCTTCACATTGAGTCTGAGGGAATTTGTCAGAAAATTAATGATTGAATGAAATGATAATGAAAGGAAACATCAGAATTAAATATTTGGCATCACATGCCTCTCTCTCGGAACCCCTTCACTTCTAGCTTATGTTTGAGGTATCTTAAAAATTCTCCCTGCATGTACAAATTGGTAGCAGATGGCCTTGGGATTGTTCTGTCCTGCTCTCCTCCGCATTGTCAGGATAGGCTGGCGTTGGCATTTCTCTGCCACTTACTTATTTTAAAAAAGGTTGTTTACATTCACAGCTCTAGAGTCCACTATATTCCATCGATACACTTTCCCACTCTGAATGTCGCTTTCATTAGCTAAGTTAGAACTTTCTTTCGTAATATTTTACTGATAATATTTATTTACTGGTAATATTTGATCCAGGAAGCGGAAGAAGGGGTTAAGTCGAGTTGATTCAGTGACCACTTATCAGTCTATCAAGTAAACATGAGCGAAAATTTGGTCCAAAAATAAGTGTGGTGAGACAAGTCCCATCCTCTTGCATCTATTTTTAGATGACATTCCCCACCTGTTCTCCCACCTGCAAGGTTTAGGCCTTGCAAAAGTGCACGGATTCAACTCGACTTATACACTGTTAAGAGAGGTCGTTATTTTACAACAGTAATCCCAACAATTAGTGTTGTAATTTTACAAATAATAATTCGTAAATTAACAACAAGATTCATGACATGAACAATTGTAATATTTTCGACAAACTTAACTCATAAATTTAGGAATAAATTCGTAATTTTACGATGAAATCTTATTGTTACTGACGAAAGATCGTAGTTTTACTGATAAAATCGTTATCTTACGACTATTCTCGTTTTAAAACGCGTAAACTTGTTTTCTTACAAATGAAGCTTCATTTTTAAGAATAGTTGCCTGTTAAATTTGTACCACGAACTGCACTGTTTTTTTACAAAGAAAATTGTAAATTGACAATCTGTTTATCATTTTACAAACTGCTTCTAAAATTTACAGGTGAAATCGTTAATTTACAAGTATGATTGTAAAAGCAAGTCTGAAAAAGTGCGTTTTCGTCCGTTGTTTCCTTACTATTGTTATAGTGTGGCAGTGTAAGGGACTTGGAGGGAAAGGGTAGTCGAAGGTCTCGTGGAGACGGAAGCTTCTGTATTATCAGCAAGGTGACCGTGTACAGAATGGTGGCTGGCGCCAGACAGCGCGCCTTTATATTACAGATGCAGAAGAACATAAGGAAGAACAGTATGGTGGAGAGTGGGGGTGCATGGCCAATGGGATTTAGGAACCAGGGTATTTGAGGGAAGAACGGAAAGAAGAAGGGTTGAGGTCCTGGCCAGGATCACTAGGGCAGTGGTTAGAAAACTGGGGAATGACCATCTAGAGGCCGTGCTTTGGTTATGTTCTCTATTATTTCATATCATAACACCACTCCCTCCTGAATGAAAGAAACGAAGTTTCTTAAAATTTTCCTCGTACACCCTTTTCTTCCGGCTTCATGTTGAACACTGACTTTAAATTTTTCTGACGTACTGGTTTAAGATTTTAGAACTATTCTCCACTCTCTCACTCAACTTAAACGTGATTTCACAAGTCTGATTAAATGTCCAATTTTGGTAATTTCTTGAGTTTTCTTTCTTGAGTTGATGACGACTGCTCGCTGTCTTGATGTGACGCTACAAAGGCTCGCTTCCCCATTACACCTTCTGGGTGCCAGGCGTTAGGGTGTCCAGTCCTAAGCCCGCGGGTCGGCTTGTTGTTAAAAAAAGAAAAATAAAGAATAGTTGGCCTTTAACATCTTAGACGCCAGGTAGACTCCAGCAGCTCCAAACGGATGTTACAACCGTCGTCACGATTTGCAACACCGCGTGAAGTTGGGATGTTCCGCCTGTGGGCCAACCAAAATTTGTGTTAGTTCTGGTGAAGCTCCAACTGAAACAAACAGAAAAACACTCTACACAGTTTTGCGCTTTTAAGTATCTAACCTCTACTCTGTCTGGTTGGTTTGCCTGGTGCCATCCTGACTATCTAGCTAATCCTATTCTAAAGGCACCTTGAAATCTAAGAAACTTAATTAGCTGTTTGCTAGTGCCAATACTTAACTTATGGAACTACTCCTCGCGTACGGGTTGGGACTCCTGGGCTGGCGTGACATCGTTTCTCAGGTTCTGGATAATGTCCAGAGCGGCTGCCAGCAGTTGCTCAGGGGTGAGCGTTCCATCCAGGACGTGAACTGGGTTAGTTTCCTCTTGCAGTAGCCAGGTGTCAGTCAGATCGTGTAGCAGAGTGAGGAACTCGACAGTGACACCTGCTTCCTCTGTGCGGCCTCTGCGGTTCAATCGTTGGTACGCTATGGCCGGGGGTGTGCGTACGTAGATGTAGTGTATTGGTTGTTGAGTGGGCTGGGCGACGGCGTCGCGCAGAATCCGTAGAATGGCCATGTGTTCTTGACCGATGGCGCTCATCTCGGCGAGGCCTTGGGCAAACACTCTCAGTGAGCACTGGGGTGAGCGTTCCAGGACTGTTAGTCCTTCCGGGTGACTGGCCAGCAATTTGGTTTGGCGGCGGCCAAGCGTGGCTAACGCGAGTACTTGGAAGGGGTAGCTGCAAGTAGCTCGGTCGGTGTAGAGGAGTTCCAGTAAATTGTGCCCTTCTACGTTTTGCCAGTCTTTGACAGGTTCGTCCAATACTGGGAAAAGTTCCAATCGCTTGAGGTTGGCTGCAAGAGTCGATTTTCCGGCTGCGATGTTTCCTTCCAGGTAGATAATTGGAGCCATCGGGCGACGTTGTTTCATGAAGTAGTGCACCATCAGTGCAGCGACGATGGCCAGGAAGACGACGTTCATCATGATGAAGATCATTTTGGCTCGGTAGGCGCGCGCCAAGTCGACAGTGGTTCTGTGAATTTAGACTTTTAGTTGCTAAACTCTGTTTGTACTCCTCTCCTCTCCGAATGAAGGAAATGCGAAGCATTTGTAACAGTTTTACTTCTTTCCATGTCTGTACAGTCAGGTTTACAATGTTTTATTATGGTTTTATTCGGTTTGCGACTGACGACACTCCTTGTGTAAATGCCGTGCGTGCGTTTGCGTCTGGCGATACTCCTTGCGTCGGGTTCCTAGCGCGGTCTGGTACGGTGCACCGCCGCCAGTGCAGGTGGCGCTGGGGTTGTGCCGTCGCTGTCCGTTGCTAGCCTGCGTTGCGCCGAGTTTGCGCAGGTCGGGGCCTTGCGGTGCGTCTCTGACTGTTGCGCTCGGCCTGTGGTTGGTCGGCTCGGGTCAGCTGACGTATTCTTGGCTCCTGATTGGCTGTTGTTGCGGCTTCCGGTTCTCGCGGCGTCCTCAACGCCGGCGTTGAGCGTCGGCCGTGGTAGCGTCACTCCGTGTGGGACGCTTGGTTTGGAAGGTCGTGCGCCATCTTGTCCCGACTCAGCGTCTCGCGAGCTTGCGTTGCGGTGTATTTTGGCTGTTGTGCCACTTCTTGTTTTTGAAGATGGATGTGGGCGCCGTCTTGCTCCACCTGCGCTTCGAGGCGTACTCTGTGCGCTGTGTGTGCGAGTTTTCCGCTCCGGCGGGTCACGATGGATACGTGAGTAGTCCTGCTGAGCCTGGTGCTCTCTTTTGGGTGGTAGTGGTGCATGATTTGCTTTCTCCTTCTCAGCTTTGTGTGTGGTGCTACTTTGGGTGTGAGTATGGTGGGTATCCCCCTCACTTGATTCCTTGCTGGCCCCCCTTGGGAATCTTTGAAACTCAGCAATGGGATGCCGTCGCGCTCATGCAGACGTGGCCGTTGTTCTGCTGTGTTAGTTGTGATGCACCCGTTTTTGTGAGTACTCCCTCTTTGCGTTTGCTTGGTGTACTTGGCTTGCTTGCTTCTGACCTTACCTGGGTTAATAGGAACAACTCCCGGGTCCCCCATTCCCTATGGGTTTGTTTGTGCCGGAGGTGCTACACCATGCCATGCCCCCCGGCCATGTCCTCCCGGAACTCGAACTTGTCCCTGGGGACTTCGTCTATGGGATTGAGGTAGCTGACCCTGATCCTGACGTGTTAGTTTTGGGAGCTGGGATCGTCCCCGACCCTTTTGAACCCACGCCCGAGTCTGAATTCGTCTGGCGTGGTCCCGGGTGTGGGCCAGCCACGGGGCAGCCCTTATCCAAAATGGATCCTCTCCCTGTGGTCGAGTTTGCGGCCGATGAGGTATGTGCCCTTCTCCTTTCCTGCGGGTGTTGTACTCGTTACCTGGGTACGCGTACTACTTGTTTGTCATTTAGATTGAGGAGGCGCGCGCCGCTCGTGACGCTAAGCGGGCCGCCGATGCTGCGTTTGCTGCGGCTGCTGAAGAAGTTGCACTTGGGGAGGGTCTGGACCCCTTTTTCTTGGAGGACGAGTTTATTGAGCCCCACCGTATTCCTCCCCGGGGCATAAAATTGTTCCGATTCCCTCTGGAGGGTGATTCCGCGCGTAGAGGGCGTTTTCGTGTCCACACCCTCCCCAGGGCAAATTTATTCGAGTGCAGCCCATTTATGCACTTAAGAATCTTTTTTGGCACCAGACTAGCTTGTTCCCTTTGTATATGGACTTTCGAAGCCAACATGTGACGCGGGAGAGGGGCCAAAAGGGTCGATTTTGTAAGTTCCGTCATGTCCATTCGCACCTTGCACCAACTTTGCGGCTCTGTAACCATTTGTTCCATTCTAATCTTCGAATTTCACACACACCCATCAAATCTCTAACGTGTAGTGACTATCTTGCTTGAATTTTAAGATCGTATATTGATTGGAAGTGTCCTTTCAGAACGCGTACAAAATGTCCACCGTACTCCGACTTTTGACTTAGTAGTTTCAAAGTTACCACCATAAAAACTACTAGGAGTGCTCCCTGCTGAAAACCACCGCCGTATTTAGAATCAGCACGGTCTGTTTACCCTATGAACGAATCCCGGTGGCGAAAAAGTAAGGGGGCTGTGTGTGCGAGTGGAAGTTGTGTGTGAAAACGGTGGGTTGTAACAATTGATGTAATTTCCGTATGCCCCTCTCACCCCTCTCCTATTGGGTTAAGAAAGTCATCCTACACGTGAAAGGGCGTGTCTTGACGTCGGACTAGTGTGCCAAACTTAAAGCATATTTCTGAGGCGATGGGCATTTGTAGTGAGCTAGAAACATCTGTTTGTAATTTCCGTCGAGCGTAATTTCCGTCATATTTTCAGTAAATTAATGATTGAATGAAATGAATGAAAGGAAACATCAGAATTAAATATTTGGCATCACATGCCTCTCTCTCGGAAACCCCTTCACTTCTAGCTTATGTTTGAGGTATCTTAAAAATTCTCCTGCATGTACAATTGGTAGCAGATGGCCTTGGGATTTTCTGTCCTGCTCTCCTCCGCATTGTCAGGATAGGCTGGCGTTGGCATTCTCTGCCACTTACTTATTTTAAAAAGGTTGTTTACATTCACAGCTCTAGAGTCCACTATATCCATCGATACACTTCCCACTCTGAATGTCGCTTCATTAGTAAGTTAGAACTTTCTTTCGTAATATTTTACTGATAATATTTATTTACTGGTAATATTTGATCCAGGAAGCGAAGAAGGGGTTAAGTCGAGTTGATTCAGTGACCACTTATCAGTCTATCAAGTAAACATGAGCGAAAATTTGGTCCAAAAATAAGTGTGGTGAGACAAGTCCCATCCTCTGCATCTATTTTTAGATGACATCCCCACCTGTTCTCCCACCTGCAAGGTTTAGGCCTTGCAAAAGTGCACGGATTCAACTCGACTTATACACTGTTAAGAGAGGTCGTTATTTTACAACAGTAATCCCAACAATTAGTGTTGTAATTTTACAAATAATAATTCGTAAATTAACAACAAGATTCATGACATGAACAATTGTAAATTTTCGACAAACTTAACTCATAATTTAGGAATAAATTCGATTTTACGATGAAATCTTATTGTTACTGACGAAAGATCGTAGTTTTACTGATAAAATCGTTATCTTACGACTATTCTCGTTTTTAAAACGCGTAAACTTGTTTTCTTAAAATGAAGCTTCATTTTTAAGAATAGTTGCCTGTTAAATTTGTACCACGAACTGCACTGTTTTTTTACAAAGAAAATTGTAAATTGACAATCTGTTTATCATTTTACAAACTGCTTCTAAAATTTACAGGTGAAATCGTTAATTACAAGTATGATTGTAAAAGCAAGTCTGAAAAGTGCGTTTTCGTCCGTTGTTTCCTTACTATTGTTATAGTGTGGCAGTGTAAGGGACTTGGAGGAAAGGGTAGTCGAAGGTCTCGTGGAGACGGAAGCTTCTGTATTATCAGCAAGGTGACCGTGTACAGAATGGTGGCTGGCGCCAGACAGCGCGCCTTTATATTCAGATGCAGAAGAACATAAGGAAGAACAGTATGGTGGAGAGTGGGGGTGCATGGCCAATGGGATTTAGGAACCAGGGTATTTGAGGGAAGAACGAAAGAAGAAGGGTTGAGGTCCTGGCCAGGATCACTAGGGCAGTGTTTAGAAAACTGGGGAATGACCATCTAGAGGCCGTGCTTTGGTTATGTTCTCTATTATTTCATATCATAACACCACTCCCTCCTGAATGAAAGAAACGAAGTTTCTTAAAATTTTCCTCGTACACCCTTTTCTTCCGGCTTCATGTTGAACACTGACTTTAAATTTTTCTGACGTACTGGTTTAAGATTTTAGAACTATTCTCCACTCTCTCACTCAACTTAAACGTGATTTCACAGTCTGATTAAATGTCCAATTTTGGTAATTTCTTGAGTTTTCTTTCTTGAGTTGATGACGACTGCTCGCTGTCTTGATGTGACGCTACAAAGGCTCGCTTCCCCATTACACTTCTGGGTGCCAGGCGTTAGGGTGTCCAGTCCTAAGCCCGCGGGTCGGCTTGTTGTTAAAAAAAGAAAAATAAAGAATAGTTGGCCTTTAACATCTTAGACGCCAGGTAGACTCCAGCAGCTCCAAACGGATGTTACAACCGTCGTCACGATTTGCAACACCGCGTGAAGTTGGATGTTCCGCCTGTGGGCCAACCAATTTGTGTTAGTTCTGGTGAAGCTCCAACTGAAACAAACAGAAAAAACACTCTACACAGTTTTGCGCTTTTAAGTATCTAACCTCTACTCTGTCTGGTTGGTTTGCCTGGTGCCATCCGGACTATCTAGCTAATCCTATTCTAAAGGCACCTTGAAATCTAAGAAACTTAATTAGCTGTTTGCTAGTGCCAATACTTAACTTATGGAACTACTCCTCGCGTACGGGTTGGGACTCCTGGGCTGGCGTGACATCGTTTCTCAGGTTCTGGATAATGTCCAGGCGGCTGCCAGCAGTTGCTCAGGGGTGAGCGTTCCATCCAGGACGTGAAACTGGGTTAGTTTCCTCTTGCAGTAGCAGGTGTCAGTCAGATCGTGTAGCAGAGTGAGAACTCGACAGTGACACCTGCTTCCTCTGTGCGGCTCTGCGGTTCAATCGTTGGTACGCTATGGCCGGGGGTGTGCGTACGTAGATGTAGTGTATGGTTGTTGAGTGGGCTGGGCGACGGCGTCGCGCAGAATCCGTAGAATGCCATGTGTTCTTGACCGATGGCGCTCATCTCGGCGAGGCCTTGGGCAAACACTCTCAGTGAGCACTGGGGTGAGCGTTCCAGGACTGTTAGTCTTCCGGGTGACTGGCCAGCAATTTGGTTTGGCGGCGGCCAAGCGTGGCTAACGCGAGTACTTGGAAGGGGTAGCTGCAAGTAGCTCGGTCGGTGTAGGAGGATTCCAGTAAATTGTGCCCTTCTACGTTTTGCCAGTCTTTGACAGGGTCGTCCAATACTGGGAAAGTTCCAATCGCTTGAGGTTGG